TCTCACTGAGAGCTGAGCAAGCGCTGATCACCTTGCATTTTCTGTGGGTTGAGAGAGCGCACAGTTTGTGGTGAGCAGACTTCTCAATACGTTATCTCTGCATACCCATACTGGGCAGGAGGAGAAATGAACCATGTTGCCTAGACTTGCAGGACTCATGTTGGTCTTTACTGAGCAGTTAGCAGCTCTGAAGAAAATGCAAGCCATTGGGACATATAGCTAATACCCAGAAACATTTTATAAAGTCTGTACAAGGAAAAGAGAGGTTTTGATTCCCTAGCAAACAGTTACAAAGAAACAACAGCTGTTACTATTCTGGCATATCAAAGGCCATCCAGCAGGGCATTTGGCACCCAACTGTACCTACTCCCTGCCCAACATCTGTCAGCATTAGAGCTTGCGTACGTCTAGGCCAGGACTGGCTGACAGCATCTCTCTCCAAGTGCCCTCTTCAGCCCTGCTCAGCCACCGGCAAAGAAGCATAAAAGCCATATCCTGTCCTGCACAGGACTTCCCAGCTGCATATTTTTCCTTAATAACTTCCTTCGTGTTTGTCTTCTCTGCTGTTTTCTGGTTTGCTTTGCTTCCCTACTCTGCTAGGTCAGCATCTCCTGACAGAATTTCTGATGCATCTGCCTATTTTGTAAGGGAAAAAAGATGTGCGACACCTAAAAGATGTGTTCCAACCTAAACTATTCTGTGATTCTGTGACACGACAAGGCCAAAAGCAATGGAGGTGAGGAGGGCAGGGGATACAGCAGCCAGGAAAATCTGTGAGAAGATTTACCACTAAAGGCTTAAGAGGACTTGTAATGAATCAGTGGTGATTTGTTGTAACTGAGAATTCACTCCACAACAGAAGCTGTTGTTTTCATCTTCCCATCAGGAAAATCAAAATAGTTGCCATCTCCTATTGCTCGCAAAGGCCCAAAAACCACAGGGAGCTATCAAGTGAGATGGGTAGAAAAAAATTATCCCTCACAACATCTGCAGTGGACAATATTTTCCTTATGGGCATCTTGACCTCTCTTGCCTGGGGTGCAGTGACCACTGCAAAAAAGGACAGCTTGGGTCACACCTGTCTGACTCTGACAATCACAGAAGAGTTGGGGTTGGCAGGCCGCTCTGGAGATTGTCTAGCCCAACCCCCCCTGCTCAGAGCAAGGTCCACTAGAGGAGGTGGCCCTGGACCATGTCCAGTTGGGTTTCAAAAATCTCCAAGGATGGAGACTCCACAGTCTCTCTGTTCCAGTGTTAGACCACCCCCCACTAGAAAAGTTTTCTTATGTGTAAATGGAATTTCCTGTATTCCAGTTTGTGCCAGTTGTCTCTTGTCCTGTGACTGGACACCACTGAGAAGAGTCTGACTCCATTTTCTTCACTCTCCCCCACGGGGTATTTATACACATTGATAAAATACCCCTGAGCCTTCTCTTCTCCAGGCTAAGCAGTCCCAGCTCTCTCAGCTTTTCTTTGCATGACAGATGCTCCAGTCCCTTAATCACCTCACTGGCCCTTCACTGGGCTCCAGTATGTCCATGTCTCTCTTGTACTGGGAAGCCCAAAACTGCACACAGCACTCCAGGTGAGGCCTCACCTGTGCTGAGCAGAGGGGAAGGATCATCTCCCTTGACCTGCTGGAAACGCCGTCTAATGCAGCCCAGGATACTGTTGGCCTTCTCTGCCACGAGGGCACATTGTTGGCTTGTTCACCATGACCCCCAGCTCCTTCTCTGCAAAGCTGCTTTCCAGCCAGTCAAGCGCTGCATGGGGTTATTCCTCCCCAGCTGCAGGATTTTGTACTTCCCTTTGTTGAATTTCATGAGGTTCCTCTCCGCCCATTTCTTCAGCCTGTCAATGCCCCTCTGAACGGCAGCACAACCATCTGGTCTAACAACCACTCTCTCAGTTTTGTGTCATCAATAAAGCTGCTGAGGAATCACTCTGTCCACATCATTAATGAAGATGTTAAACAGTGTTGCTCCCACTACAGACTTTTGGGATATACCACTACTGAGTGGCCTTTGGCTGGACTTTGTGCCACTGATCAAAACCCTGCGAGTCTGCCACCTGAGCCAGTTTTCAGTCCACCTCACTATCCCCGATCTAGTCTGCACTTTAGTTTGTCTATGAAGGTCATATGGGAGACAGTGTCAAAAGCCTTCCTAAAGTTAAGATAAACAACATCCACTGCTCTGTCCTCATCCACCAAGCCAGTCACCTCATTGTAGAAGGCTAGCAGGTTAGTACAGGCATGATTTCACCTTCATAAATCCAGCCTGAACACTCCCAATTACCTCCTTGTCCTTCATGTGTTTGGAAATGGCTTCCAGAATTATCTGCCATCATCTTCTCAGGGAGGCTGACTGGCCTGTAGGTCCATATGTCCTTGTTCTTGCCCTTCTTGAGGATAGGAGTGACATTTGCTTTCTTCATGTCCTCAGGAACCTCCCCCAGTTGCCAAGATTTTCAAAGGTAATCAGGAGCGGCCTCACAACGACATGGGCCAGCTCCCTCAGCACTTGTGGATGCATGTCCAACCTGTTTAAAGGTTTCCTCACCTGATCCTCCGCTATCAAGGTTAAATCTGCCTTGCTCCCAACTTCCCACTAGTCTCAGAAGCCTGGGATTCTCAAAGGCCAGTCTTATCAGTAAACATCAAAGAAGGCAATGAGTATCCTGGCCTCTTCCATGTCCTTTGCCACTAGGTCCCCTGCCCCCTTCAGCAGTGGGCCTCCATTCTCCCTAGTCCTCCTCCCGCTACGGATATACCTGTAGAAGCCTTTTGTGTTACCCTTCGCATCCCTTGCCAGATTCAACCCCAGGTGGCCTTTGGCTTCCCTAACCCCATCCCTGCACGCTCAGACAGTGTCACTATAGTCCCTGCTTCCACCTCCTGTATGCTCCCTTTCATGTTTCGGTTTAGTCAGGAGCTCCTTCGTCACATGAAGAAGGCCTCCTGCCACTTTTGCTTAACATCCTGCTTGTTGGCAGGGACCGTTCTTGAGCTTGGAGGAGGTGATCTTTGGGAACCAATCCCTTCTCCTGCATCTCTCTTCTCGCTAAGGTCATCTCCTACGAGATTCCTCCACGCTGGTCCCGGAACTGCCCAAAGTCTGCTCTCCTGAAGTCCAGGGTGGTGACCCTGCTTTATGCCTTGCTCCCTTCCCTCGGGATCCTCAACGCCAAGACTACCTCTGGCCTTCGCACCCCTGACCAGTTCCTCCTTGTTTTTAAGTATCAGGTCTAGTGGAGCACCTGCCCTTGTTAACTCCTCAGTCACTCGTGTCAGGAAGTTGTCATCAATGCCCTCCAGAAGTCTTCTGGATTGTTTGTGGCCAGCTGTGTTGCCCTTCCAGCAGACATTGAGGTGCTTAAAGTCTCCCATGAGCATCAGGGCCTGCAAACGTGAGGCTTCTTTCAGACGGTTGAAGGTCTCATCTACTTCCTAAGCAAGTGGTCTGCAGCAGACACCCACAGAAACGTCACCCATGTTGGCTTTCCTGCTAATCCTAACCCATAAGCTCTTAGCTGGCTCATCATCCATCCTTAGGCAGAGATCCAAGCATTCCCAGGTTAACTACCCCTCCTTTTCTTTCTGGCTTGTCCTTCCTAAAGAGCCTGTTCATTGCCGCACTCCAGTTGTGTGAACTATCCCAGCACACCTCCATGATCTCAATGAGATCATAGCTCTGCAACAGCATGCAGACCTCTAATTCCTTCTTTTGTTCCCCAGACTGCATGTACATTAGTGTACAGGCTCTTCAGAGGGACACATAGTCATGCTGCTTTCCAAGAAAAGGTATGAGAGCTTCACTCATAATGCTGTCCTGCAGGCACTTCCTTATTTGTGTGCAGATTGTTGGGGTTGGCCTCCTTCTGCCCCGTTTTCTTATTTTCAAGGTCTGTCCTTGAAAGACCCTGTACTCTTTACTTGCCAAACCAGTCTACCACTTCCTCACTTAGTTGTGTGAGTCACAGGAGGAGGTGGCCTCACAAGAGGGTGGCCTCTCTCGCAGGCCTCAAGACTGTTTTTCATTGTGAGTTTTAGCTCTTTGGTTTTGCAGAAGATTAAAATCTGAGTTATAGAGCACAATCACAAAAATTATTTAAAGCTTGAAAAAAAAAGTCAAAAAGATTTTAGCAAATTTTCATTGCATAAGAATTTTTTCAGTCCTTCTGCTTAGCTAGTTATTAGGATTGTGTTAGCTTGTTCTGAGGATTGTTAAACCCCAAATCAAGGCACAGCACAGGGTATTCCTATCTACAAGAAACCCTCGCAGTGAGCTATTCTTAGCTGCAGAACTAAGTAAAACTGAAGCCATCCACTGGGTGCTGCACAGCCTGGTGTCACACGGCACCTGGCAAGCCCAGGCAGGAGATGCAAGGAGCAGCATGCCGCAACTCCCTCTGGCACTGGGGCTGCCCGCCATCTCCATCCCTCCCAGCATGCTGGCTTCACGTGAGTCTCAGCCGCGAGGAAGTGCAGCCCTCACATCATGGGCCATGCCCTCGCTGCAGGAGCACCTTTCAGCCCCCAAAGCTGTTTAGAGACACGGGCTGAGGGCTCCTCAGCAGGAGCGCTAATCTCGCTTCACCCCCCCCCCCATCCGGCAAACACACCCACTTTGTCGTCTGACAGCAGCATTTCACAAAATGGCCAAAGCTGGGGCTTGCAAGCTTTTCCTCGGCCCTCTGAGTGCAGAGCCACTTCCTGGGCACAGTCCAGGCCCAGGCACCCACAAACCCCCCCCCACAGGTCCCCCTGCTGGGGGGAACCCCCATCCACCAGCCTCCCTCCAGCAGCTGTACAGCAAGATGGCTGCACACAGAGTGGGTGGGGCCAGAAGCTGCCACTCAGCCCCAGAGGGGGGTAATGGGCGGGGCAGGGTGGGGCTGCCCCTATAGGGTCGCTCAGTGGGGCTGGTAGGGCTGTGTGGGGTGGTGGTGTTGTGGTGGAAGCAGTAGTAGTGTGCTGTGGGTGTCTGCTGTCTCTCAGGATGTTTGGCCTCCGGGTGGACCTCGGGCTGCTCCTGGAGCCCCTGGGCTTCATCAAGGTCCTCGAGTGGGTGAGTGGAGAGGCTCTGGGAGAGCCTGGCTGTCCCTGGGGCTGTGTCTCCTCCTGCCCTGTCCCTCCCTGGGGGCTGAGCGCTGCCTGTTGGGGTGTCCTGCCCTCTGGGGGCCTGCAGCAGGGCTCTGCCCAGCTGAGGTGTGGGCCTGGCTTTGCTGGTGTGTTGTAGCCAGCTAGGCCCAAGGAGGAGCCCGCTGGCAGGCTGCCCTGTCCCTGTCTTGTGTTGCAGATGGTGGCTGTTTGGCCTGGGGCTGCTGTTTTGCCAGGCCCTCTGGGGGTGGGGGGGACAGCTCTGCAAGTGCACCTAGTATGTGTACTGTCACTGGCTTTGCCACAGTGGCTGGGGCTGCTGGGTGGTGGTGGGGTCTGTCCTCATCATAGGGAATGGGGGGGCTGCTGGTGAAGAAAGGGAAAGCAGGAGCTACCAAGAGACCTGTGTAACAAGCCTGCTCTCCTGGAAATCAGTGGGTCTGCAGTAATCTGATGTGTGATACTTGGAGCATGTGTAGCTGCTAGCTGCCTTAATGCAAACTTGTGGATGTCTGAGGCTTCTTCTGAAAAGGTGTTGCTTAATAACTGCAAGAAGTACTGTGTTGGTTTCTGATGCTAGCATTCAAAACAGAAAAAATACTTTCACTGTAGAGCTGGGAAAAATGTAAATTAAAAAACTTTATAATTGGCTTTTTTTAATTGTGTTTGGGGTTATGAAAGCTCAGTGCGCTCTTCCCTCTGCCAATGTCACTTAATGCTTTCCTGCTGCTAACTTAGTCCTTCACTTATTCCTTGCCTTTGCTAGTTACTTGAGCTAAAAAGTTGTGTTTGTTTCCTTGGCGCTCTGCTGGAGTGCTTAAAATCCAGCTGCTTTCCCCTGAAATGAGAGCAGTAGCTCCGGTTAATGACTGGATAAACATCCAGGTTGGGTGGGTTATTCCTGCTCTTTGACAGTGTTTTCAGTGAATGACTGTGAATAGAGTTAACTGTTGGAATATAGCTTCTTAGAGGAATATTAAAATTGTTTGTATGTGGCATGGCAAGTTTTTTTTCCTTCTTCCAGATGTTTTGGGGTATGAAATAAGTCTTAAATGGGCTGGCTATTAACCTGAAGAAATGCATATCTATAGAAATTGGGGGAAAAAAAAATCTAGAAGACCAATGGTTAGGGGCTGCTGTTGTACTAATATGCTCCTGTATAAATTTCTGTAGATCTTCTCCATCTTTGCTTTTGCCACATGTGGAGGCTTTCAAGGTGAAACTACCCTTCTAGTTTCCTGTAAGGGAGTGGTAAACAAAACAGTTACAGCTGTTTTTGCTTATCCATTCAGGTGAGTATACCTTCTCAGTTGTTGCTCATATATACTTTCCCCTCCCTCCCTCTCTTATGGATACTTACTTTTAGATATATATTTCTGAAAAAAGTGTGAAACCCCTGACTTGCTCCACAGCAGCCAAAAATGTAAATATTTTGTACTTTTTCCAAAGCATTGTGGTTGTCAATGCCCTATAAAAAGAAGCTGGTAGGTATGACAATAGGATATATTGCTGCTTTCTATCTCTATACCTTAAGCTATATTCTAGCATTGCATTAATGCTACAGAAAGTGATTGTTTGATAAGCTAAATAATATAATTAAAATCGTAATAGCTTCTTTATTCATCAAACTATAGTTGCGTTGGCAGCCCAGGTAAGATTCCAATGGATGAGCCATTGGTATAATAACCTTGTTTAAAGACTGAATGGGAAAATATGCTTTTCAGCTTATACTGGTAGGATGTTGGCAAGGGTGCTGGGTACACAGTAACTGAATACTCTTCTGCCTTTGTAGTGGTCTTACAGGTAGAAAGGTGTAGAGATGAAAAATGGACCAACTTCTTGTTCTCTGAGCACAAGGAGGAAGGCTTCCTTTTTGATCTAGCAGCTGCACAGTCAAAATGAGCTCAGGCTCTGTATTCAATAAGCACAGGTGTAACAATATAAGAGGAATTAGATGGCAACTAGTAAAGGCTGCTACAGAAGTACAGAACTCAGACACGAAGTTGAGCATTGTAGCAGCACTTGAGGAGAGTGGGAATCTGAAACACTTCTGTGCTACCCACTCAGTGACCTGCAGGATTGGATTGAACTTCCTGTACTTGGAGGTTCAGGGCTTGCAGTTGCTTGTAATTAATGATGCAACTCAGTGCCTTATAAGCCCTAATCTGCTTAACTGCCAGTCTCTGGTCTCTGATTAACTTAATTGGTTAATTAAGTCTATTTCCAAATCAGGGTTTCTTTCTCCAGTTATTCTAGACATAAGATCAAGATTTCTCTCTTGAAGCTGCTGTTGCCTATTTTGATATAGGAGGTGGAACAATCTTCAGAGATCTTGACGTATCTTAGTATTATATGACAACTGCGTAATTCAAATATAGTTTTATAGAGTAACTTCACACAACTAGAATCTGAAGCACTATTATAAAGCGTGACTGTATGAAACTTCCACTGTGTGGCAAACTCTAACTACATGAGATATAATCTTTCCAGGTTGAATACTGTTATGTTTAGTGCACCAGATCCAAAACGCTGTGGTGGTACTTGGACCGACTTCTATCTTGTGGGCAACTTCTCCTCTTCTGCACAGTTCTTTGTTACACTTGCAGTGTTGGTTTTCCTCTACTGCATTGCTGCCCTTGTGGTGTATATTGGATATATGCATGTGTATCAGCGCAACAGCAAGCTTCCACTGACTGTAAGTAATACTAAACTATGTTACTGACTTCTCTTTTAAAACCACAAAGAGATGAGAAGTACTGCTAACATGAGTATCTGAACTAACTCATGAAACAGTAGAAGGAATGTGAGTGCAAGTCTTTGAGACTAGTGGCTATGGCCCTTGAGCAGAAGAGGGAGCTTAAGTCCTTGAACATCTGTAGTGTTGTATCTTAGGCAGTTATTGAAGCAAAAAGTGGAATGAGGTTTCACCTCCTCAGGTGAATGGTGTCCTCACTGCAACTTCTTGTATCATGCATTTGAATATACAACTATTCCATAGGGGGAGCGTCATCTGTTAGGCTCTGGAAACACCCCCTGTGTAAAGCACCTGCTGTGCAGATGCAGTGAGCAAAGTGACTAAAAGTCACAAGACAGTTCCTTCATCTTAAATACTGAAGCCCTCACCAGCATCTTTAAGAATGGGACATTCTTGAGCATGCTGAGAAAAAGACGTAGAGACCTTTGAAACCAAATCTGAGCATACCAGCCAACCAGATTTAAATCCTCTGTGTTCTTCCTCCCCATCTATCCCTGCTTTGCCAAACTTTGACTTAGTTTTTTGTTTTTTTTTTTTTTTTTACCATAAATGTTAAACATCTGATTTACGATGGAATTTCTTCTCAAGGATAAGATTGCTTATGCTTGACAGATGCAAAAGGCAGACAGTTTTCTGTAGTTGATTATCAACACAGATTATAACTTGGGTTGCAATTACAATATTGTCAGTGTCTAAAATGTGCTTGTGCTTATTAGCACTGATTGTGGTTATTTTGATTGTGTAATTGGTACTGTTTCTGCCTCTTGTGTACAGTCATGCATAATTTTTAACCTAATGATGAATACTTCTCTTCTGTAGGACTTGGCTATCACTGTCATAATAGCCTTTCTGTGGCTGGTCAGTACTTCTGCTTGGGCAAAGGCACTTACTGACATCAAAATAACCACTGGTGCCAGCATTATTCAAGAAGTTGAATCTTGCAAAGCCCCGGGAACAACTTGTGTTTTTGCTTCTGTAACTAGCATGGGAACTCTGAATGTATCAGTGGTATGTATGTTTTATGATGCATCTACTGTACCCATATGGTGTAAAATAGCTTATGGCAACTGAGATTCCTGTTTATTACTGGTCACGTGTTGCTTTTTAAGATCGCTTTATGCGTTACTAGTCATTTAGGCCCAGTAATATTATGGCGGATCACTGACCGAAATAATATCTTTTTTTTTAAGAGAACTTTCTTCAAAGAAAAGAACAAAAACAACTTCTAGGATCTATTTCTAGAGCTGTTAGATGTGGTATTTAGAGACACGTTTAAGTTCCCATATTACTTCTGTCTGGAGCTAAGAACCCCTTATAATATATTACTGTATAAAGCCACTGAAGTGGCTTATTGAGTGTTGCAAGTAAGCAGAAAAACTATATTCCCTGCTCTGCCTATTGTTGTCAAACTTGGCCTTTTCTCAACTGTGAGAATTTTCCACACCTCAAACAGAGGTTCCTTAGAATGCCGTGATTGGTATAGGGTGCTTATGTTCCCAGAAAGAACTCTCCTCCAGAGCAGGAGAAATGAGGCTCATTGTATGCTCCTCCCAGTAAATTCTACTTGTCAAAACTGATTGTTCATCAGCCCAGTAGTAATTGGTCATGTGGTCTGGATGTGCATGTGCAGAGCTGACTAGGAGACTGAATATTCTGTCCTTTGCATGAAATTAGAAAAATTCTAAAGCCTGTTACAAGCTATTTTAGCAGACTTCTTTGGAAGTCAGATAGTAAACTTAGAATAAGTGTCTTGTTCCCAAATGAAAGGGATGTCAAAGATAGCTGCCGCTTCTGGCTTTTTTTGAAGTCGTCTTCAAACTTCTCACTATTTTCTTTTTTTTTTTCCGTAACCTGCAGGTGTTTGGTTTGCTTAATATGGTTCTGTGGGGAGGAAATATTTGGTTTGTATACAAGGACACCAACTTGCACAACCAAACAAACAAAACTCAAAGTTCAGGAATATATCCAACTCCAAGAGGAATATAAAAAACAAAGTGATACTCTGACGTGCTTCCACTTCTGCATCACGCTGCCGACAGTATGGATCCTTTAGGTTTTATTTCAGTAATAATTGATAACACTTTGGACAAATTTATTTGTACTATGATTTGACACAAGATCTTGGTGGCTATCCCAATTGAAGCATTTATTATCTTGCAATATGTTATGCATTTCAAAGTTGTACAGCTTCTTATTACAAGTTTTGAAGAGCAAAATGTTTAGACTATCTAAATGCTGACCCCCTTCAAGAGTGTTCTTAGGCTAGTGTCATAGAAGGGATAGGTTAGGAGAGCAACTGTGTTTGGGTTGTTACTGCGGCTTACTTAGCTCTAACAAGCCTTTATTGAAAACTGATATGTAAATGCAACTAGGACATATGAAACTCCAAAGAAAATGCAATTGTTCAATTTCTTCCTATGACTGATACCTTATGAAAGTCATCTGAGTAAAACTTAGAGCTCTGTCAGAGTTGCAGCTATCATATGTTTATCATATGTAGAACTTTCATTCATACTGTAGCAAAAAATCTACTGACAAGTCTTGTCTAGAAGGACATTATTCCCATATTTAATGTATTGTTACTAGTTAATGGCTTGGAACAATCTCCAAACAATAAAACAGCGTACAACTTAACTATAAGCTCGTGACTTAACAAATATGAGTGTGTATGTGTGCAGTGTATGACTTCAAGAGTACTGTCCCAAATTCACATAAATACTGTAGAAACCAAAGCTAATATTTTATAACTGCTAATGTTTGGGTTTCTGTAAATTCCTTTGAGGTGCATGGACAGTGGTTGTATATGAAAGGACATAACTGTAGATGTCTAAACATGACAAAGTCTTAATTGATGCTGTTCAGCTTGTTAATATTTATTGGGAGCAATACTTGATTCTTCTCATGTGAGTCTCTTCTAAGAT